CTGCCTCTGCCCGTAACACACACCCCTTTCAAAACAACATCAACAACAACAACAACAACAAAACGAACAAACTAAACAACACAAAACAAAACAAAAATCCTCTGAAGTGAAACAAATGAAAGTATTCATGACCTAAAAATATGCGTTTTCTACAGGGCTTTGAAAAACTCAAACTGTTCTTTTTATCGAAGTACTTTATAATGTACATTATGCATTGTATACATAAATTCAATGCGTCTGCAAAAAGTGTCAACATGTAGAGCACTGTGGAGATATTTTAAATTAAAGTGAAAGAGTTTGTTGATATCATGATTGTACATGCATCCACAAAAAGGGTCAACATGACTGTACAGTATGTTATCTATAGGCAGGCATTTGCACTTTAAATTGTGAGGCAGTGTGGTGGAATCAGGATCTCGTCATTTTTTGAGCATGTAGATTCATTGGTATCATCTTAAAGCTTGTTCACTTGTCCTTATTTAGATGAAAAAATATCCATTTATCATGAACACAAGTCGAGGTATTAACGAAAAAAGGATGTGGAGGTCACTTGTTTTTAGGATTGTTATTTCCTTAGCTTAAGAGTCCGTGGTAACTGAAAATTTACATTTTCTGTGTCTTTAATCAACGTTTTTCAGAAAAACCCACACAGAAAAGAGTTCTTTAATTGGCATGAAATGTGTTGAGCCAACAAACAAAAATTTAATAAAAATTCACAAACTTGCGGAAAAATGCAAGTTTCTTCAGTTTGATTATTTTGACGAGAGCCTGATTCCACCACACTGCCTCACATTTACCACTGAGATCTTCAGAAGGGGGGGGGGGGCATACAACGTTGTATCCTGATAGGTTCGTATTGGTATCGTTAGCATATTATTGGTATCATTCCCACATTATTACATCTCTACCAGTCCGCATAATACACTTTTGCTGCTAGTAAATTGAAAAAAAAATAGGACGAAGTACGCTTTCTAAAAGTTCAATGCTCTACCTAACGACCCGAAAACTGGAACTCATTCCTCTAGTATATCAAGCCTGCCATCTAACCACTCTACCGAGGCGTCTAATGAACACGAAGCCCATAGTTAAGGGGTTCCAATACTTGGTAAAAGGTTGGTAGGTACTTTTTAAGACTCATCGAATATCATAGTTATATTTTATCCAAAACATATCATATTCACCCAGGTAAAAGTAAAGCGATACGGAAAAGTAGTCTTAATAATAATACCGACGTCATATCCACGAATGTAGCGGGGGCTCTCGTGGCCTAGAGGTTAAGGTGTTGGCCTCTCATTCAAAGGTCCCGGGTTCGATTCCGGGTAGCGACCAAATAATTTTCTTCTCT